AGATATAATTTATAAATTTATTCCATCCCACACATATATGAGTGTGGTTTTAAAAAGTATATGTAAAAACCCTTTATTGATACATTGAAACCATTTCATTTATATTTGAGATTCTACTATTTTTCAATAATAAAATTTATTTTATTTTTGTAGTTTGGCATCTGTGTGCCTTATATAAATACTATTATAGTTTTTATTTTATGGATATCTTATGAAAGCACTCTCTGATAAAATGTGATGCTATTTTTATCTCATGAATTTAATATTTATTGGTAATTAAAATTATTTTAAAATATTGGTAGTAAAAATATTTTTCAAATGACCCATTTAAAAATAAATATAAAAAATTAGATCTATCAGATCTTGGAAACACACACAATTAAATTTATATTTTAAAAATTTTTAAATGACAATAGTATCAAGCAAATCTTGATATATTGTTATAAACATACCCTTTTGCCCCGATCCCTTAAAACCTGTCATTTACATATCATTTTAAATCTGAATTGTTATTGTATTGTTTTGAAATAATAATAAAAAAAATAAAATTTATTTGAGATTTTTTTTTTTTGGTTGGGGGTGAAATAAATAATAATTTCTATTCACATGGTTAGTAATATTGATATTATTTATTTGATTATATAAAACAATTATTTTATATGGAGTATGTATAGATTTCCTGAATGAAACCCAAGTATAAAAATCAAGACATCACATATTTCTATCAAAAATTATAATAATAAATCTTCATAATAATTATTACAAAACACACACTTTCTTTTGCAAATAAAAAAAAATCTTTAGCTCTTTTATTAGCCTCTTTTATTTATTAGAATTAATTAATAAAAATTCCCATTAAAAAAAGAAATTGTCGATAACAACAATAACTCATACAACTTACCAATTACCATCAAAAAAGCACTTTCTATATAAAAAAAAATATTATTCGATAAATACTAAATTATAATTGGTGGATAACAGCATTATTATATATTTAAACACAACTAAAACTCATAAATTGTTATATTTTTACCACATACACACATTTAATATTACTCTTTATTTTTCCCACTAAAAACTCCAACAAATTTTATTTTTTATTTGTCAGGGAATTAATTTAAAATAAGAGGTTCCTGTGTTGTAAATAGGTGCATCCCTCTAAAAAACTCTGTGTTTAATGACAAGGTGTAAAGAGGGTGGTGTGATATTTCCACCCAAAAATAAAAAATTTAAATTATTGTTTTTTCATTGATTTTGGATAAGGTTAAATGGTGATTTAATATTTAAAATTAATAATAAAATAGAATAAAAATTTAAGTTTTTAAAATAAAATAAAAAATCAATAGATTTAATATAGGAGGTGTGTTATTTTTTTGTTATAAGGTATAGTGTGGTAATTATGGGGTTTTGGGGGAGAGGGGGTGATTTTTATATATGCTAGAGGTTAATTTTAAATTATCATAATTGTGTTTTATTATTGTTTTTGTTTATATTCTCTATTTATATACTAATAAAACTATTAAAAATAAAACCAGACATAAAATAATGTAATAAAAAATAAATAGTAAAACAGTATGTGCTCTATTTATATGTAAATGTGTGTGAGTGTGAATCTGTGTGTATGTGAGAGTTTGGATGTGTGTGTCAGGAGTGTGTTTAATATATGGAGTAGTGGTTATATGAGGATGGTGTGTGAATTTATTATTTTAATTTCTTTCTCTTTCTCTTTCTCTATTTTTTTTATTACCTAAATATCTATTTGTTATTTTCAATTATTATTTGATAGGAACCATACACCACAAGGTTTTCTAAACATTATTTAAAATATTTGTTTTTTTTTTACATCTTTTTTTTTTCTTAATTTTAAATTTTTTAATACAGTCATTATTTATGTACTTGTGTGATTTTTTTTTCAATCTTTTACTTACACAAAAAATACAGATACTACCAAAAATTGGTTGACTATTATTGTGTTTTAATATATAGTTTTATATTATTTTTTTACTCTTGTGTATAATAATAATAAAATTTAAATTAATTTTGTTTTGTATTTTTAAATAAAAAAAATATACAAAATACTAATAATAAATTATCAAAACAAAAACAAAAAACAACAACAACACAATAATACACCATTCAAGCTTCCTATTATCAATCTACACATAAAGATATTAATTTTAAAATTATTATTTAAATAACAGAAAAGAAATTAAATTTAATATAATTTTAATATAAAATAAATAAAAAAAAAAAGAAAATAAAAAAAATATAAATATTGGTTTTTTTAATTCTTTATTTATTTATTTATTTATAAAGAATAAAATCATATTCAACTGACCCACCGATAATTTATATATTTTAAACAAATATATAATACTTAATCAATAGTTTTACTATTTATTTATTTTAAAATAATTATTCATTGTTTTGGTTTTTTTTTTTTATATAAATTTATAATAATCTTGTTTTTTATTTTATAAATAATATAATTTTTAAAATAGTTATACATATTATTTTTTTTTTCCAAAAATTAAATTTTTTATTTTATTGTCAAACCAATAATTTAATCTTATAGAATAACATTTATTTTTCCCCATTTTTTATAATTATGTTTTAATTTTTAAAATTAATAAAACTTATAAACGAAAACCACATAGTTTTAATATAATATAATCATACAAAAGAAAACTAACATACCAACTCGTTAAAGAGTGAAAGAAAATAATATAAATAAAAAATCTCTTGATTGATTTTAAAAAATATCTAATTAAAAAAAAATATTAATTAATCTCAAAAAAAAAAAAACTATAAATATAATTTTTTTTCAAACACTTTTCAATTCATTTTTTTTATTAATAATAATAAATTAAATAAATTGTATCACCACCAAAAAAAATTGTAATATTAATTACTTGTAACAATAACCAAAAAGTATAAAAAATAATTTCAAAATATTTTTTATTCACAACCATCTATTATATAAAATCAAATAAATTTTTTTAAATAATAATATTAATAAAATCTATAAAATGTCATTATCATTAAGCGATATTAAATTTCCAGAATCATGGGAATTAATTCCAAACGAAAGAAACTATATTGACTACGTATACAAAGAATCAGTAGAATTGGGTGTATGGAGACCAGATAACAAAAGAGATTTAATCGCTCATAATAATGTTGTTAGTCTTTCAAAATTCTTTTGGCCAAATATGGACTTCGAACGTCTAGTAATGGGTGGTGAACTTATGGTCTGGTTCTTTACTTTCGATGATGCTTTGGATGCTGGAATCTACAATGATGAACAACAAGCTCAAGTCGTTAAAAGAATGAGCGATGTTTTTATGAACGGTACTGTTGAAGACGATGCCAGTGGTCCAGAAAAAATGGCTCTTCATCTTAGAAATAAATGCGAAGTAATGTGCGGTGAAAGAAAAGATACATTCAATCGTTTCATTTCATCATGTATTCAATGGGTAGACTCAATTATTCCATTTAATAAAATTAAGGTAACTATAAATTTATTATATACAAAAAAAAAAAAAAAAAAAAAATAATATTAATTTTTTTATATATTTTTATTTAGATTGATGGAGCTTCACCAGATATCGAACTATATTCATATTTAAGAAAGATTAATATTGGTGCTTTCCCATGCGTTACTTTAACAGAAGTTATGCTTGACCACGAAATCGACCACTATGTATGGTATGACCCAAGATGGATTAAAATGAATGAAGACATTGCAATTATCACAACCCTAATCAACGATTTAGTAAGCTATGAAAAAGAAGTTAATGACAACGCCGGTGATTTAAATCCATTATTTTTTATTCAAAAACAAAGAAAAGTACCATTAACTGAATCTTTTAAAGAAGTTGTTGGTTTAATCAATCATTGGGTAAAAGATTTTACAAATTTAGAAGAAAGCTTTATGAAATCACACAAATTTAAAAACTCAAAACAAAAAAGAGATTTTGAATGTATGTTAGAACACCTTCATTACTTGGCATCTGGTTCAAAATTATGGAGTATGCAAACACCACGTTACTGTAGTCCAACTTCTCCATTCATTGAAATGCGTAAACAATCGAGCTCACCAAATCTTACAAATTCAATATCAATCCCAACTAATAATACAAATAATAGTAATAATATAACTTCAAGTCCAAACAAAAAACAAAAAATCGATATTACCAGTTCAAGTGCCATTTTTACCACCAGAGAAATTATAAATTAAACAATTCAAAATAATATCTTTATAAAAAAAAAAAAAAAAAACTAAAAAAAAAACAAATATTAATTTATTTAAACCAAATATTTTGTAAATAGTCTATTATTTTTAAGAGAGTTTCTTAAAATATTATTATAAAATAAAAATAAAAAAAAATTATAAAAAAAAAAAAAGTTTTATAAATCTAAAGTTTTTAATTAAAAGTTTTATAAATCTAAAGTTTTTTATTAAAAGTTCAATTTTTTTTTCAAAAAGTTTTTTAAATTAAAAGTTTGATAAATTAAAAGTTTTTTAAAATATTTAATTTTTTTTTTAATGGTTTGATAAATTTTTTATAGTTATTTATTTTTTATTTTATTTTTTATGTTTATTAAATATTATTTGATGAATCTGTATCATTAAACTAAATTTTCATAATTTTTTGAATTTTCAAGGTTAATTTCTTCGACCTTATAAACCAATCTGTTAAATTTAGATACAATTGATTTTTTAATTGATTTTGGAACGATTAAGAAAGAAACGGCCAATGTAATGATAGATAAAATTGAGGCAAAAAGAAAAACATAGAATACATTGAGAGTACCATTAAATATGTAACCACTGATTAATGGACCAAGTATTCTACCGAATGAACCCATAGCACCGATAATACCCATCATTGTACCTTGAGAAGCTTTACCAATGGAGCCAGACAATGTTTTTGAAAACATAGAGACAATAATAGTTTGAGCCAATGGATAACCGATAGACCAAATCAAAATATTAGAAATTGTGAATCTTGCCCAACCCAAGCTTGTAGTAACTGCAACCAAACAACCAACTAACATTAAAGCATTACCAACAATTAAAATCCAAAAATCATCGATTAATTGTTTTTTAGTAATATAAGAGATACCCAATAATACAAAGATACCAATGATACCCATACCACCAAAGTAATAACCAGATGAGCTATCGTCAACGTCTCCTGTTAACAAATTGAAAAGAGGAGTGCCTAAAGTTTCATAGATACCAAGAACACCTCTGACAAAGAAATTTAAGATTACAAAAACAAACAAGCTCATGAGGGCCTGTTTATCACTAAGTAAAACTTTAAAAATGGACTTTGGCTTTGGTTTTGGTTCTTCTGGGTTGGCCTTTGTTAACTGTTCTTTGTCACTTTCTACAACTATTGTTGGATCTTCTTCTTTCTTTGGATTTCTAAATTGGAATAAAATAACAAAGAATAAGACAATATTAAAGATTAAAAGAAAGTAACCTGGAGATGTCAAATGGTAAACCTTAAGTGGCTCGATGATATAAAACCATGGAATATGAGCTAATACTGAACCAATTATTGGAGTGATGGCAAAACCAAGGAACTGAATAGCACTGGACCAAGCAACATAAGTAGTTCTTTCTTGAGCAGATGAAACCTCTGCGACATAAGCTCTGACAACACTAAGTGTACCGGCACCGAAGCCCAATAAACATCTTGAAAGAATTAATAAGATTTTACCCAATTCGTCATCGTATAAATAGGCAAAACAATATACAAGAGCACCGAGTGAACAAATAAAAACTGAAGCACTGAATACTTTTTTATATTTTAATCTTGAGGAGAGGTAACCAAGTAAAATAGTTGAGATAAATCTACCAAAACTAAAGGATGATACTAACCAACCTAAGAAAGAATTATCACCACCAACCTGTGAGAAAAAAAAAAAGATATTTAAAAATAAAAAATAAAAAATTAAAAAATGAAAAATGAAAAATGAGAAATGAAAAATGAAAAAAAAAAAAAAAAAAAAAAAAGAGAAAATTAATAATTATTCTGAAAAAAAATAAATAAAAATAATAATTACCTCTACAGAATATTGATTAATTGTTGGAACAACTATACCACGAGCACATTCAGAAAAGAACAAAACCAAAAATACAATGGATAAATTGAGCCATTTATTGTACTTTGGTTTTATAGCAAGCTTTTTTGGATTTTTTTCTTGAGACAAAGGGATTCCCAAATCTATATTTTGGAAATTATCGGAATTTTTATTATTTGTTTTATCTTTTTCTTCTTCACCACCACTAGGCGGTGCGGGTTTTTCGTCTAGGTCTGATAATAATATAGCACCATTGTTTTCATTATCACCACTGTTGTTTATCGTCATGGACAAGAGATATTAAAAAGATATAAATTGAAAAATTATTTATTTATTTTATATAAATATATAATTATTATTATTTTTTTTGCGTTTAGGTTATTTTTTTTTTGTGTAAAAATGATTTTATTTTTAAGGCTTAAATATGCAAAAAAGTGAATAGTTAAAAAAAAAAAATAAAAAATAAAATTAAAAAAAAATAAAATTTATTTAATTTAAAAAAAAATAAATTTTAAAAATAAAAAAAAAATAATTTTGCACCATTTAGTGTGTAACTATTTATTTATTTTATTTAATTTTTTTTTTTTTTTTTTTAAAAATTATTATAATTTTAAAAACATTGACATGAATCAATATATGATGATTTTGTTGACTATTTGGGGGTACCAAAAAAGACTTTTAATTTAGCAACCACGTTGTTCATATAATTTGATAAAAGATACAATATTTTTTTTTTCTTATGCAATAAACACCTCTTTTATGTTTTATATATCTTTTAATTAATTTTTTTAAGACAAAAAAAAAAAAATTTTAATATGATTTTTGTGCTTAATATAAATAAAAAAAAACAGATTAATTATTTTTTTGGTTAATATAACTTATTTATTTTTTTATTATTTTTTTTTTTCCAAAATAAATATTCGGTTTGATTGCACTATCTTCAATTATTATTTTGGTAGTTATTTTGGGGGTACCAAAAAAGACTTTTATATTTAAGCAAACACGTAGTAAAAAAAAAATCAAAAAAAATACCAAACTAAATTTTGATTTTTTTTTTTTTTATTAATGTAATAACACTTCTTTTTATTTGTGTTTTTATGTTTTATGTATCTTTAAATAAATTTTTTTTTAAAGACAAAAAAAAAACTTTAATATGATTTAAGTAAAAGATAAATTATTTTTTTTATTTTTTTAATTTTTAAAAAAAAAATTTTAAAAAACGATAAAATTTTTTTTTTAATATTAAATACACAAAATTAAAATGACACAAAAATTAAATAATGTAAAGGAGTTTGTCAATTCAATCGATACATTTATTTTCGATTGTGATGGTGTTCTTTGGCTTGGTAGCACTATTGTAGAAAAAGCAGTTGAGACATTGCAATACCTTAGAGCATTAAAAAAAGATATTAAATTTGTTACAAATAATAGCACCAAAACAAGAGAGCAATTCATGGAAAAAATTAAATCATATGGTATCGAATGTTACTTAAACGAAATATATGGATCATCATTTGGAACTGCAATTTATTTAAATAAAATTGGATTTAATAATAAAAAAGTATTTATAATAGGTGAATATGGTTTACAAAAAGAATTAAATGACCAAAACATACAAACTGTTAAAGAGGTAAATATTATTATTATTTATTTATTTATTAATTTATTAATTTATTAATATTTTTTTTAAAACCATAGGTTACAAGATTAAATGATGGTATAGATAACGTGCAAAATATTCAAGTTGAAAGCGATATTGGTGCTGTTGTTGTTGGAATGGACACTTGTTTAACTTATCAAAAAGCAGTATATGCACATAAGGCAATCGTCGAAAACAATGCACTTTTTATTGCAACAAATACAGATACATCATATCCAATTAAAAATGGTAAAAGTATCCCAGGTGCAGGCAGTATTGTGTCAATGATTTCAACAAGTACCGCAAAGCAACCCATTATTATAGGAAAACCAGAAACATTACTATTAGATTTAATTATTGAAAAGGATAAATTAAATCGTGAAAGAACATGTATGATTGGCGATCGTTTAGATACCGATATTCTATTTGGCATTAATGGAAACATCAAAACTTTATTAGTATTAACTGGTATTTCAAAACTCGAAGAAATTTCTCAACCAAACTCACCAATTATTCCAAACTATTACACCGATACTGTATCAGATTTACTTTTACATAAAGAATAAACAATAAATAATTAAAATATAGTTTTTTTTAAAATTTTTATAATTTATTTTTTTTTTTAAATAAAAAATTATTTTATAATTTATAAACCATTATTATTATTTAATTAGCTTAATAAAATATTATTATTATTATTATTATTATTATTATTATTATTATTATTATTATTATTATTATTATTATTATTTGATCCAAGCATTTTCCTTAATATTGATCTAATTAAAATACCAATATTTCTATTAATACTTGAAATTATATGATTATCAAAACCTAATAAATTTGAAGATGAAGGAGTTAAACGGAAATCAGTTGGTGGCCAATGTCTATTCGATAAACAATTGGTCAATAATTTATATTTATCAATTGATTGAACCATTAAATCTAGAGCCTGTAACCATTCTTCTTTAACAACTGACCATACTATTTGAGAATTTGAATCTTGTGGTGGTATTTCAATATCACTAAAGAATTTAATTGAGGTATTGAATAGGGTATTAAGATATTCATCGCCGTGTGGTGTTTGGAAATCTTTTTCCTCTAAAAACTTGAGGATATTAAATGCTAACTGATGTAATGTAACTATTAGGTATTGATAAGTTGTATGGACATCCAATTCACTGGAAAGAGGTGGCATTGCAGAGCTTAAACTTTCCATAGAATCGGTAATTACATAGAGTAGATCAATAAAAGCAGATCTAGTGGTGTTACCAGAGAATGAGGCCTCTTTTAATGCTAAATCGTTGAAATAAGATGTTAAAATTTCGCATGATCTTGGTATTACAATATTGACTACAATCTCGGCTGATACACCATATTCTCTTAAATCATTGATAATTGGATCGCTCTTTAAACCTGTATCCTTAATATACTCTATAAATGATGGTAGATAGTAAGCTAGATAGTGTGCAATGTTGATATGACCATAATTGGAAAAGAAAGCATCTCTACATTCATTGTCATCAATGAAAAACGATATACCTGGTAAAAGGAAACAAACATAATAGCCGCTGTCATTTTTATGCTTTAAAAGATATTGAAGAATGAAATGTAGGGATAGTTTCATATTCTCTGCCATTGACTTTGTTTCCTCTGAGATCCAAAGACCTAAAAGCTTAACACTGCTAATGAACAATGGTGATGGTTTTTCTTCTGATTGCAACGATTCTTCTGAAATCTCCTTTAAATAATTTAATATAATTGAAATTGATTCCCCCAAAATATCATTGATTTTACCAAAAGTTTCAATTGAAAAAATTACAAAGCTATTACTATCCTCATTATATTTATTTGATGTATTGCTTGTTGTAGTGGTGGTGGTGGTTGTTGAAGAGTCGCTATCTCTTGATGAATTTAATGCCTCTATTGATACAGGCAAATTCAAAGAGTTGCTTTCATCAAAATAGGTTGTTAAAAATAATACAGTACTTTCGATTACAGAGTAGCATGATGATAATAAAGCTTCACTTTCTGGTTTAACTTTTTTCTCTGTTAAAAGAATCATGTGGATTTCCGTTCTAACCATTTGTAAAGATAACAATAAAAATTTTTCTGGTGAAAAGTTCATACATTGGCCATTACCGCTAAAAATAGTGCTATACTGAGATGATGTTGAAGGTTTAGAAATTATCCATTTACCACCAAGTAAATCTAATAAAATTGAATAAAATATAATTGATTGGTTTCTGTATTCTTCTTTTAATTTTCTACTTGCAAATATACTATATAAACCAATTATAAAATTATCTTTCCAAAATCTAACCTTTTCATTCATTAATTTACAAATATAATCCTGATTCTTTGTGCTGTTATCATTATTGGTATCGTTATTATAACCATTATTATTATTATTATTACTATTACTATTATTATTAATACTGCTATCTGTTGTGCTTTCTGATTTATTTAATAAAACCCCATTATTGCTATTTGGGCCAGTGTTATTTATTCTTTGTTTATTACTATTTATACCGCCACTATTATTATCATTTCTTATTTTGTTTGTATTTATTTTAGCTGAATCGCCCAATGGGCTGTTGTTATTATTAAAGCTATTACTGTTGCTAATTAATTTACCTTCGTCATCAATTTCCTCTTCACCACTATTTATGTCTTTTTTAGTTGTTACGGTATAATATAATGATATAAACGATTGAGATGGTAATTCTTGATGATGTCTAAAAATTGGAATTAATAACGAAAGTACTGAAAATTTAAATTGGTCATATCTTTCTTTAAATAGAATCGATAGAGGTTCAACAAACAATAAATCGTTATCGCTATAATTTTTGTCAAACTTTACATTGATTGATGTGTCTGTATTAGAAGATGATATAGTGGTTGTTGATGTACCTGTGGTTGTTGCGGCTGATGCAGATGTATCATTTGACAAAGATGATCCATTTATTTGTTGTGATGGCTCATCGGTATTATTAATGGTGGCTATAATGTTTTCACTATTATTGATTTTTAATTCTGTTTCTGACTTTTTATGAATATGATACAATACCAGCTTCATCAAGTTGATGGTTAATTCTAAAACATTTGAGATTAACTGGTATTCTTGTTTCTGCTTTTTAGTTTTTGGTTTGATTGGTATTTTTGTATTTGATAAAATAGGTGATGATGGGGTTGCTGGGGTTTCTTGTGAGTCATTAATGATTTCATCGGATTCACTATCAGATTCAAAACTATCGCTTTCATCTGAATCACTATAGCTCTCAGTATCATCTTGAGTTTCATTTTCGGACCTTGTTTCTAATTCATCATCTTCTTCCTCTTCTGTCTCCTCCTCTGTCTCTTCCTCAATATCAGAGTCATCTTCTTTAATACCAATGGTTGTATATTTTTTTGAAACATTATGTGCATATAATAAAAACTCGCATAATAATTTTATATTTTCTTTGTATGATAAAACATCTAATATTGACGAAAATAACCCCGATCGCTTATTTTCACACTCGCCTGTTGTTGCTGTATTTGTTGATGAATCATTTGTTGCTGTATTTGTTGCTGTATTTGTTGTAGTGGTTGTATTTGGCTTTGATTCTTTGATTGGATCTTTTTTAACTATTTTTGAATTCTTTAATTTTTCATTTAAAATATTTTCAAATGAACATAAAGAATATAAAATTTGAATAGATTCGTACAATAAATTAAAACTAGATGATGGATCACTAAAGAAAGAGAAAAAAAATTGTGTTAGAAAAAAAAACTTTAAAAAATAAAAAATATAATAAGATGGTTACCCTTCGATAGAACGAGCCAAAATTAATGGCGCCATCTTTGACACCAATGGATGATAAATTATTTTATGCAAAATACTTTCATTCTCTTTATTTTTATTACCATCATTATTTTTTAAATCCTCACCATCTATACTATCATTAATACCACTATTACTATTATCACTTTTCTTTTCTATACCATCGCTATTAATGTAGTTACTTTCATTCATCTCGGTATTATAATTTTCAAAACTTTCGATTGTGCAAAAAGTTGAAAGAATTGTAATTGATAAATTTACATATGATATTGATTCAACACCTAAATGAAATAAAAAATTGCATTAGTAAAAATTTTACTTTTGATTCCCTTTTTTTTTGTTTATAAATAAAAAATACCTGGAGTCTTTGGTGTTTGTAATAATCTAAAAAGGAAATCCAATCCCAATGCCCTATATACCTGATCCAATGCCTTGCAATCATTTGATTTTATTATATTTTTAACCAAAATAATACCAACAAACTTCTCCTCATCTACTTTACTTGATAATAGATTTAAACATGTCTGAAAAGATAAATCTGAACTCATTTCTCCTATGTATATTTCCTATCTGTATACTGTATATTATTATAATATAAATTTCTTTTTTTTAACTTAACGGTACCTTTTAATTTATTATTAATAATACAAGTTATTGTTATTTTTTTAAAAAAAAATTTTTAAAATTAATTTAATTAAATTTAATTTAATTTATTATTATTATTATTATTATACTTTTAATTATTATTTATTATGTGAATTAAAAAAATTAAAGTGATAAATTTGAAAAATTAAAAAAAATAAAAATAAAATTGGAAAAAAAAAAAAATAACACCAATCTTTTTTTTTTTTTATACGAAATAGAAAAAAAAAATAATGTGAGTGTGTGTTTGTGTGATAAGTAGGTTTATGTTGGTTGTGGTTGTTATATATATAAATTTTTTTTATACTCTGTAATATTTTATATGATAAATTTATTGTGCTATTTAATTGTTTGTTGTTTGTTATTTGGGGTTTGTTTATTTTGTTTTTTTTTTTTTTTTGTTGTTATACACACAATTTATATTATGTAATAATAATGATAACAGTTGAAGTATTAATACTATTCATTTTTTTTTTTTTTTTTTTTTTTTTTTTTTAAAAAAAAAAAAATTAAAATTTTCCCTTTTTTTTTTTTTTTTTTTTTTTTAGAAAGGAATTTCAATTCTCCCCCGGTCTTTTTTTTTTTCATCGCCTTCAAATGTGGAGAAAAAAAAAACAACCCCACTATAGGTCTGGTTTAAAGAAAAATAAAATAAAAAAAATAAAATCTTTTGGTTTTTTTTTTTAATTTAAGAGAATTGGAAATAATCCAAAAAAGGAAAACCCAACTTGAATTTTAATATTTTATCTTATTCTATTTTTATTTTTTTGTTGATAAGGTCCCACTTGCCAAGCTTTATTTTGGTGAAAATGAGACAAAATAAGGAGAATCTTGATTTTTTATAACCAAAAGAGAATCTTGATATCTAAAAAAAAAAATACATACCACAGAGTTAGCCTTTGTAAAAACTGATTGACCATTTACAATAATAATAAAAATATTTCTTTGTGGTTGGCATTTTTCTAGATTTATGGAGAAAAAAAAAGTTTATTTCATATTTTATGACCTTTAATAAAAAAAAATTTTGGAAAAAAAAAAAAAAAGATATTTTTTTGATCATTACCCAAGTAAAATTAAAAATAATTTTTGGGTCTTTGAGAGTTTATTGCACAACCAAAAAAAAAATATTATTGTAATAAATTTGATTTTCCATTATTTTCATGTTATAATAAAAATTATTATTATTATTATTATTATTATTATTATTATTATTATTATTATTATTATTATTATTATTATTGTTGTTGTTATATTATTATTTTTATTGTTTTATTATTACTTGTGAGTGTTTAATTTATTTAATTAACCCAATTTCTCTGAATGCTAAATTTTTTTTATTATTTATATCTTTAACCCACACACAGTTAGATTAAATACGATAATGTATATTTATTTTGATTTTACTTCGATCTAAGTTATTATTATAATTGAACCATTATTATGCAATATCTGTGGTATCATTGAAATTGTAAATATAATCCATAATGTTAATTTAATTGTTGATATAACCAACTACGGTTAAAAAATATTTGTTTTTAATTTTGTGTAAAATAAACCAGCAAAATATTGTATTATTTTTCATTATTATTTTGAAAATGAAAAAAAAATAAAAAAAAAATAAAAAAAAAAGCTATATATACAAAAATTTAAAAAAAAATAATATTAAACCTTCTTTAAAACGTTAAAATTTTATTTGTTGATAAAGACGATAAAATTCTTTTTGTTTTAATGAGGAAAAATCTTTTTTTGTTTGTATTTTTAGGAATTTCTTGTGCAATTTAATCACCTCAAGAAAAAAAATTAAATTAATATAATGTTTATATAATATCCGCCCTAAAAAAAAAATAAACCACTTTATTAATTAGGAAGAATAGTGCTTTAGTAAATTTTTATACATTTAAATTTTATTGTTATAATCATAATAAAATACTCTCACACACAATCTTGCTGTCTTGGGTGTTCAAGACATTTAAAAATACTCTCTTGAGCACTCAAGACATAAAAATAAAATTTTTAATTTTTTTTTTTTTTATTTTATTTTTTTTTTAAAATTTTTTTTTTTTTATAAAATTTTTTAATTTTTTTATTTCTTTTTTTTTTTTTTTCATTTGAATCATTCAAAAAACATACATTTTATAAATAAATAATATATTTTAATTTTTTTTTTTTTAAATATACACACCCACAATAATAATTTTTTATATGTTTTTTTTTATCAAATCAAATATTAATAATAATAATAATTTAATTAAATATTTTAATAATATCACTTAAAAAACAAAAAAAAATATTTTTGTTTTCTTATCACAATATTTCAAAAAAAAAAAGTTTTAAAATATCTTAAAATTTTTTTCTTTGTAAACGCACTTTTTTTTGTCATTATTTTTTTAAAATTTTTTTCTTTCTTAAAAAAATTTTTTTTTGCTTATAATAAAATTTATATTTTTTTGTTGGTTTAATACAAATAAATAAAATTTTTTTTTTTTTAGTTATAATAATTTTAAATAACTAAAATTGTCAAATTTTTTAAAATAAATTTTTAAAAATAATTTCTGTAAAATATTTGAAACGTAAATATTTAATAACATAAAAATAAAAATAAAAAAATATTAATTTTTATCTTTTTTTTTTTTAAACCACAAAGTAAAATCTTTTTAATTTCTTCACACATATATAATAATTTTTTTAATATAAAAAAATGGAAAACTACAATAATAACAACAATAATCAATACAATTACAATAGTGATGATTTAAATAATAATAATATGGCAAGTGGTTTTAAAGATATCCACTGGAGCGGTGATAATTTAAGTGTTGTTGACAATGCATCACTTGTTCAAAATTCTTTTTACAATAATAACAACAATAACAATAATAATAACAACACTATCAACACCATTAATAATAACAATTCATCTGGTATCCAATTTTCAACAGTTATGAATGGTCAAAGTAACAATAATAACAGTGGTAATAATAATAACAATAATAATAATAATAATAATGGAAACTTTTTAAATTTAGGAAATAACCAAATTTCCTTCCAACAATTCCAACAACTTCAACAAGAATATAATATGTTCCTTTATAAACAACTTCAAAACCAACCAAGCCAAAATAATCAAAACCAAAACCAAAACCAAAATCAAAATCAACAAAATCAAATAAATATAAATGGTTTAAGTATTATGAATAATGGCACCAATAACACTAATATAGAATATCCAAATTCACCAATGGTACCAAATTCACCAATGCTACCAAACTCTTCAATTCAATACGCCACTGTACCAGATAATAATAGTTCACCATCACAAATCAGACAAAATTTTAATCCAAACACTAATAATAATTTTAATAACACTTATGAACAAAATATAAATTTTAACACATCTTCAAATAACAACAATAATAACAATAATTACTTAAATATATCAATGTCACAATATTCAGAACCATCAACCCCAACCAACGATTATTCCCCAGTTGTTCATATGCATCATTCATGCTCAATAATTCCACAACAACAACAACAAGTCAGTACTCCACCAAAACCAATTCAACCAAAACCAATTCAACAACAATTTTTAACTAACGGCTCATATGGTGGCAATGGAAATAGTAATGGTAATAATAACAATAATATTTTGGCACCAAAAGCTGAAATTGTTGATGTTTTCAATCAACCATTCCCAATTTACACTGTAAAAACTCACGTTTTAGTTCCAGCTCCAGTCATTAAAGTCTCTGGTTATAAGGGTGACGCCAATGAATTATTGGTTATTGCCAATCCTGAACCAGATGATTCAATTGTTATTTCCCAACCAGCCACTACTTGTTCAGATGGTACCTTTGAATTTAGATTCTCTGATATGCATGTTGACAGAAAGAAACACGATCCATGCAGTTCATTCAAACTTCGTTTCAGTGTTATCAATAGAAAGACCTTTTTACCATTCGATGAAGTACTTTCACCACCAATTAATTTATACTACCACACCGATCTTTTACCTGCTCCAGATATTGCTCGTTTAGTTCCAAATTCATGCTTTTGTGGTCAAGAACCAGAAGTCACTTGTTACGGTTATTACTTTAAGAAAGGTAGAACTGAAATTCTCTATGTCGATTTGGAGCCAATTGAACAATCACCAGATCATCAAACTTACTCTGTTAAACAAGAACAACTTCGTATGCCAAATCAAACCTCATTCTCATTTGCTTTTGTCCCACCAACCCGTAGTACCGCTGGTTGTTACAATGTTTCAACTCGTTACACCAAATCAACTCAAAAGAAAGAAAAAGATAGTAAAGGTGGTGCTAAAAATAAATCAAAAGTTGGCAAACCACACTTATTCACCTACAACGAGTTACCAGAGAGTGGTAATCCAAAGCGTCAAAGAAGTACTCCAATTGACTACAGTGGTAATCCATCTTCACCATCATCAGAAGAATTCCAATATGGTGGTTATGGTGTCAATGGTTCACAAAACAACAATAACAATAACAATGGCGTTAACGGCGGTAATATGAATTATCCACAATCACCAAACTTTTTACACCACTTAAACTGTGTTATCCATGGTGAAGTTGAAGAGTTAGAAGAACTCTTAGCATCCGACAAAGAATTAATTAATCTTGTTCGTGATAACCAAGGTAATACTTTGGTTATGCTTGCTGCTAGAGAGGGTCGTGAAGAAATGGTCGAATTTTTAATGGAAAATGGTTGTGACCTTACATTAAGAAACAAATCAAATCACTCTGTATTCCACATGGCTTGTTATTCTGGTTCAATCGATATTGTCGAAAAGGTTTTAGGTGTCGATGCTGAAGAACCAACCATTATCGATATCCTTGCTCGTGATTGTGTAGGTGCTACTGGTCTTCATATTGCCACTGAAAGAGGCCATTACCGTTTGGTTAAATATCTTTTAGCTAACCACGAAATATTAGCTGAAGCCAAAGATAATCACGGTCTTACTGCTCTTCATTATGCCGTCCAAGATAACAATATCCGTATTGTTGCTGTTTTAATTGACCATTTCTTATTTGCTGGCGAAAATAAACTTAACCAAAAGGATTACACTGGCATGACTCCACTTCATTGGGCTTGTGCTCTTGGTCGTTTCAATATCGTTGTTAAACTTGTTGAAGCTGGTGCTGATATTAATGCCGTCGATGGTGATAATGAATCACCAATCTTCAAGTCAATTGCTACCCACAATAAAGACATTACTGTTTACTTAATCGAAAAGAATATTGATGCCTCAATTATAAATACCCACCACAAAGATTACATTGAATGGTTAGCTCAACACAATGCTGATCATATCGACTCTGAAGAAGATGAAGAAGAAAAAGAAGATGAACAACCAGTCGAACAACAAGATGCTAACAAAAAGATCACTACTACCACAACTACATCCACTACTACAGCCTCAACCTCACCAAAACTTGATGCTTCATACTTGGGTAATCAATTGGCTCAACAATTCAGCAAACTAAGCACCTCTGATATCATTAGTGGTAAAAGAACTAAAGATACCATGGAGAAGCTCAAGGACTTTATTACACCAGGCAGTGAATTTGATCTTTCAAATATTACACCACAAAACATTACTGTAAATAGAATTGAAACTTTAATTAAACAAGTAGAGCGTAATAGCGCTAGAGAAGAAAATTACAAGAACCAAGAGCTCACCACCATACTCCAAGCTTCATTCACCGATAAAGTCCAAGGTTGGATGCACAGCGAAGAAGAAATAATTGAACTCACCAAGAGACAAATAGAACTCGAAGACGACCTTGCCTGCAAAGTACAAGAAATACTTAAAATGAATGATTTTGTTGCTGCTTGTCCAATCGAATTAAATGAAATCAAAGCTGGCAGCTTAGGTTTATTCGTCTTAAAACGTGAAAGATACTATGGTTTCCATCAAAGTGAAAATTTGGTCATCTCTTCAAACGACTCAATGAATGCCATCAAGAAGATTTATGGAAACAATTTACCATCATGTTTATTATGTAATGTTGTATTCTCAATGAAAACCGTTTCAACCAAACCATCAGCTTTAATGCCAACTCCAGGTACTGAATTTTATGTTGTAGATTTAGAAGTTCAAAAACTATATGATTCAAATTATTAAATAATTAAATCATAATAATAATAATAATAATTTTTTATAAAAAATAAAAATTTAATTTGTACATATCCAACTATTTATTAAAATAAAAACACACACAATCTTTTTTTTTTAAAAAATCATTTATTTCTTTTTTTTTATTAAAAATTTTTTTATTTTATTTGGCAAATATTTCTATTTTAAATCCCATCCAAAAACATATTTCTATCATTTTATAATAATAATTATAATAGCTATAGTTTTCAAATATTTTTTTTATTTTTATTTTTTTTTATTTTTTTTTTTTTAAAAAAAGTTATTTTTTATTTTTTTTTATTTTTTTTTTTTTTATTTTTTTTTTGAATTTTCTGTACCTGAATTATCTTTAATAAAAATCTAAAAAAAATAAAAAATAAAATTAAATAAACCAATAACCAAACCTTGTTGTAATATTACTAGTAAATAATAATAAATTTAATAATAAATATTATAAATTAATATTGGCATTTACTTGTTAACACAGATATGGGTGGCACATTATCATTGTATGGAGATTGGGGGGATGAAGCTGAACAAAATGAAAATGGTGTATCAAATAATAATAATAATAGTAATAGTAATAGCCACACTGTAAATAGCATTAATCGTAATGGCAGTAATATAACCACCCTCAATAACTCAAATAATAAAAATTTAAATAGTAATAATAATAGGAAAAATATAAATCCATCATCGGATTTACATAGAGAAGATGATGAGGAAAGAAGAAAATATTTAAATAGCATTAGGGAATTAGAAAGTAAATTTAAACTAACTCAACAGGAAGCACATAAACTAAGGTCTCACAAATCTGCCATCACAATTCAAAAATTTTGGAAAGGTTATACACAAAGAAAAAAATGGAGTTTATTTTGTAAGTTTAAATATAGAAAAGAGCATGATGCTATATATTTTTTCTAATTGTTATTAATATTTACTAATATTTATTTTAAATTTTTTATAAAAAAAAATAAATTATTACTATAGTAACCAAATCACAGGTTATTAAAGAATTGTTAATTACAGAAAGAGATTATGTTAAATTTTTAAATATTATTGTCAATGTAAGAATTATGTTTATTTACATATAAACAAGCTAAAAGTAATTTATTAATAATAATAATTTTTTAATTTAAAAAACAGGTTTATATGGTACCTTTAAAAGAGTTATCACAAAAAACATCAGGTGGAACATTAAGTAAAGAAACAAGTAGAATAATCAAAAATATTAAAAATGAAGGAGGTCAAAGTTTATTATTAAATTTAGATCAACCACCACTTAGTCAAGAGGAAGTAAAGATAGTTTTTTCACAAATTGAGGTAATTTTATTGTATAATTCAATGTTATTGGAAAAATTATCAAGTAGAATCTATAATGATTCATGGAGTTACCATCAAAGAATAGGTGATATATTTTTAGAGATGATTCATTTTCTTAAAGTACCATACAGACACTACATTACAAATTTTACTCAGTGTTTAAAAGTATTAGAAGCAGCATCAAAAAGACCATCATATGTATTATTCATTCAAGAATGTAAATCATTGACCGAGGTAGCACGTCGTGATCTTCAATCATTCGTTAGTATGCCAATTCAACGTATACCCAGGTATGTCTTGTTGTTAAGAGAGTTAATAAAATTTACACACAAGAGTGACCCAGACTATCACAATATTCAACAAGCATTGCACAGTATGGAAACTATTGCTGATATCATCAATAAACAAATGCGTGAAGAAGAGATCTCCAGAGAAATGATTGCAATCAATGATAAGTTAACACCAAAAATCAAAAATCTTATTGAGCCCCATCGTCGTCTTATCAAAGAGGGTGAGGTCAAAGTTTATAAAGCAGATGGAAATGACCACGATATAGCGACTGGCACAATCAGACCAAGTTCAATTTGGAAAATTCAAAGCCCACGTTTTAGATATATTTATTTATTTAATGACTCTTTTGTATTATCAAAAAAAAACAAAACTTTGTATAAAGTTGAAAAATATGTAAATTTAGAATATAGTACCGTTATTGATCGTTCAAAATCAATTAAAGTAGTGGAGTCTGCAGATTCTCATGATGATCTAGATAATGGTTCAGATACTTGTAATATAGAAAATAGTGATACAGAAAGTGGCAGCAAAAAAAACACAGCAAATAGTATTAGTATACCGAAAAGTACCAGCAATGGTACTTTAACAAGTCCAGATAGAAAATTAAGTATTTCAAGTTTGATTGAAAGTATTGGTAGTGGCAGAGAAAGTGTTAAAGCTCAATCAGAGGGTGATAGATATTACTTCAAGTTACATACATTAGAATGCACATTGGTAATTTGTTTACCAAATGAAGAAGAAAAAGAACAATGGAGAAATGCATTCGTTAATGTTATTAATCAAGTCACAGAGAATACTTTATCATTTAATCCCAAATGGTCAACTAATCAATTAATATCGGGTATTGATGCTAAAGATTCAAGCATATCAAGTGTTATCTCATCATTTACATCACCATCATTAAATCGTTTATCACCTTATCACAGTAAGCTTTCTTCACCAATGCGTGGTACTCTCTTAACAGTCGATAATTTTTCGATTAAAGAATCAATCAATGAATTATTAGCTTTAAATAAACCAATTAAAGGAATGGAAAATACAGATTCAAATAATACTTTTGATGCCAAATCGCCATCATTAACAAAATCAGATTCGGATGATTTAATTTCCTTAGATAATAGTGGTTGAAGGAATCAAAAAAAAAAAAAAAAAAAAAAAAAAAAAAACTACTTTTATGTATATTTACAACACATGCAAACAATATAATAAAATCTCTATAATTATTTATTAGCCAAACAAAATCTTTTTCTTTTTGTTATTTATGGAAATTAAAATCATTATAACAAGATTGCATTTATGAATCTTCATATACGTGTTCATTTTTATTTTTTATTTTTTTATTTTTTTTTTTCAATTTTTTTTAATTTTTAATTTTAAAATTTTTTTTTTTTTTGAAATTTTTATTTTTTTTTAATTATTATTTTTTCAATCAATTAGTTTTTTTTATTAAGTAAATATTTAATTTGTAGTTTTATTCTAATATATCAAATTAAATATTATTTAAAATGTCAACACCATTGGGATCATCCACCAGTGCCATGGAAAAACCATGCACAATTTTAATTAATTATGACAAAGGAGATCCACCACAAGTTAATGAATTTAAACAAAATTTTGAACATGGTACAATCGAACAAAAGATTGAAACATTAAAAAAAGTTATTCTTTATACAATCAATGGTGAACCAATTCCACAATTACTTATGCCAATTATCCTTTATGTTATGCCATCAAATGACCATACCATCAAGAAACTTTTACTTATTTATTGGGAAGTCATCGAAAAAACTCATTTAGGTAAATTAAAATCTGAAATGATTTTAGTATGGTATGTAAATCATAAGAAATTATATATATATTGCATTGATATAAATTTGTAAAATACTAATATATATTTGTTTTAAAATTATTTTAGTAATTCATTATTAAATGATTTAAATCATCCAAATGAATTTGTTCGTGGTAGTACTTTAAGATTTTTATGTAAATTAAGAGAAGCTGAGGTTTTAGAACCATTAGTACCATCAGTTCGTTCAAATCTTGAAAACAGACATGCTTATTGCAGAAGAAATGCAGTTTTAGCAATTTATAATATTTACAGTCACTTTGAATATTTAATTCCAGATGCACCAGAATTAATTTATAACTTTTTATTACAAGAAAAAGATGCATCATGTAAAAGAAATGCCTTTATCATGTTATTCAATTGTGCTCCAGATAAGGCTGTTGAATATCTTTCATCAGTTTTAGATGAAGTCCCAAGCTTTGGTGATATGTTACAATTTATTGTTGTAGAGTTAATTAGAAAAGTTTGTAAAACTTCACCATCTGAAAGAGTAAGTAAAAAAAAAAATAATAATAAAACAAATAAATCAATTATATTTTGCTAATATCATTTTATTTTTTTTATATAGTCAAAATATATTAAATGTATTTTTACATTATTAAACTCATCATCACCAGCAGTCAAATATGAAAGTGCAGGTACATTATTATCATTATCATCAGCCCCAACAGCAGTTCGTGGTGCCGCAAGTGCATACATTGATTTATTATGTAACGAAAGTGATAACAATGTTAAAATGATTGTTTTAGACAAACTTATTGATATTAAAAAGAATCACAGCAAAATTATGGAAGATCTTGTTATGGATATTTTAAGAGCTTTAGCATCACCAAACATCGATATCTGCAAAAAAGTATTAAACATTGTTTTGGAATCAGTCACACCAAAGAATATTGATGAAATCATTATGTTCCTCAAGAAAGAAATCAATAAAACTCAATCAAAAGAATTTGATAAAGGTCTCGAATATAGACATCTTTTAATCAGAACTATTCACGTTTCATCACTCAAATATCCAGAGGTTTTAGGCAATGTTGTTCCATTATTAATGGAGTATTTAGGCGATAGCTACCTCCCATCTGCAGTTGATGTCGTTATTTTCCTTCGTGAAGTCGTCGAAACCTATCCAACTTTAAGAGAGTTAATCATTAAAAAGCTCATCGAAAATCTTTCAACCATCAAAGTTTCAAAGGTCTATCGTGTTGCTATTTGGGTTATTTCTGAATATATCCCAACCATTGAAGATCTCGAATTTGCAATCCAATCAGTCCAAAATGACCTCGAATCAATCATCAAACCAAAACCAGTCGAAGAAGTTTTAGAAGCTAAAGCTAAAGTTAAAACTGAAAAAGTTAGTGTTTCAAAATTAATCTCTGATGGTGATTGGTACTTAGCTTCATGCATTTCTAGTTCACTTACCAAATTATACTTTAAAGCCGAACAACTTCAAATGCCATCATACGATTTAAACAAACTTAAAGCTCAAGTTATGTTGATCACTTCAGTCTTAATTAACCTCAGTAAATCTAGTCAAGTTTCAACATCAAAATCTGCTTATGAAAGAATGCTCTCATGTGTTCAAGTTTTAATCGACCCATCACCAAAAGTTAAAAAGATTTGGTTAGATGATTGCCGTGAATCATTCAGCACCTACCTCAAATATTTAGTTCAAAAACAAAATGAAAACAAAAAGAAATCTGAAAAAGAACAAGTCATCAAAGCCAATAATATTGTTAACATTAGACAACTCAAATCAAAGAAAGCTTTTGGTCCAGTCGATACCGAAGATGATTTACTCAAAGCTGTCGGTACTGTAGAGATGAATAAAGAAAGCGACGAATACTCTAAAATTTCACAATTATCTGGTTTCTCTGATCCAATTTATGTTGAAGCTTACGTTAAAGTTCATCAATATGATATTGTTTTAGATATCACTGTCTTTAATCAAACTAGTGATACCCTTCAAAACGTAACCTTAGAGTTGGTCACATTAGGTGATCTCAAGATCTGCGAACGTGTTCCACCATTTACCATGGGTCCACGTGAAAAAACAAATCACAAAGCATCAATCAAGGTTTCATCCACTGATAATGGTGTTATTATGGGTACCATCACCTTTGATATTGCAGGTTCAGTTAGCTCAATGTCAGATAAGAACTGTGTCATCTTAAACGAACTCCACATCGATGTTATCGATTACATTCAACCAGCCAATCATCTCTACACCGATGTCCTCTTTAGAAACCATTGGTTAGAATTTGAATGGGAAAATAAAATCCCAGTTAATACCAATATTGGTGATTTAGTTCAATATGTTCGTCACATTAGCAAAGTTACCAATATGGGTATTCTTACACCAGAAGTCCACCTTTCAAACGAAACTGGTATTCTCTCTGCTAATCTTTGCGCAAAGTCTGTTTTTGGTGAAGATGCCTTAGCAAATATTTGTATTGAAAAGCAAAATGACGGTAAAATCTCTGGTTATATTCGTATTAGAGCTAAGGCTCAAGGTATTGCTGTTTCTTTAGGTGAAAAAATTGCAATCAAACAAAAACTTCCAAAAGAATCTGCTTAAGAAATAAAATAAAATAAAATAAAAAATAATCTTTATAAATAAATTGTTTAATAACAAAGCTTTAATTTTATTAATTTATTTAAATTAACCTTGTTTTGTTGGTGAAATAATGATATCACGAAGACTGATTTCTTGTGGTAATTCATACATGAATTTCATTGTGTTTGCAACTTGGTATGGATCCATTGACTGACCATCTAATGCTTTCTTCCAGCCTAAATATTTTTCATAAACTTCGGCTGATTTTGAATTATGGCCCAATAATTCAGTTTCACCAATACCTGGGGAAATTTGTAATACTCTAACATTTTTCTGGGCAACCTCTAATCTAACTGTATCTGTAATGCAGGTTACACCATATTTTGTTGAACCATAAACTGTATGGCTATCAAATGGACTGTGACCAGCAATGCTACTAACATTAATAATAGTACCTGAATTTCTTTCCATCATATCTTTTAATACCTAGTTTTTTAAGAAATAGTTAGTAAATAATAATTACAGCTTGTTTTGTTTTATAAATATACTACATACGATTCTACATCCATATAATACTCCTTTAACATTTACATCTATCATTGTATCCCAGTCCTTTGGGTCTTGTTCCCAAATATTTCCAAGTAACATAACACCAGCTGTGAATTTAATTAGTTTATATTTTTTTTATTGTTTTTTTTTAATTTTTTTTTAAACACTTACCATTATTAACCATAAGATCGATTTTAGTTTTGAAGTGTTCTTCAGCTTCTCTACAAGCTTTTTCAAATTCATCATAGTTACTAACATCAACCTTTCTACATAAACAATTTGGGAGTTTAAAAGCTTCCATTTTTTCTAGTCTTCTAGCTACTATTAATAATGGGTATCCTTCTTTGGATAAAATCTTTGCTAAAGATTCACCAAAACCGCTTGAGGCACCTATATTGTTTTTATAGTTGATTAGTTTCTTTGTTTTTTAATTTTTTATTAAATATTAAATATTAAATGAACTTTACCTGTAATTACTACTAATTTTTTTGATTTATCGCTCATTGCTACCGATATAATTAAAAATATTAAATGAATTTCAAAAAAAAAAAAAATTAAAAAAATTTGAAAAAAAAAAAAACAAAAATAAAAAAATTAATAAAATTAACACACTATTTTTATTTAATTTAATTTTCAAATAAATAATAATATAGTTACAATTTTTTTATATATTATATATTATATATTTGTTTATAAAAGTTTAAACAAAAAGAAAAAACTATTTATAGCAAAATAATGCTAAAAAAAACAAAAAATTATTATACATTTTTTCTCAATTCATTATTTGTTCATTTTGGTGGAATGAATAGAATTTGAAATTTACAGATATTTTTAAAAAATTGCTTCCATCAAAAGATTTTTTTTAAAAAAAATTTTGAATATCTTTTTTTTTTTAAAAAAATAATTTTATTTAAATAAATTTTCATTTTCATTTTTTTTTATATTTTAAAAAAGACTGAAAAAGAAGCAGTGTAGAATTAAATCCAATGTATTGTTAACCTATAGTTTATAGAATAGAAACTTTTGGTTTTATAGAATAACTTAAAAACACAACTGGGTGCTATTTTAAAGAAAAAAAGATTTGGTTAGATACTCATTAAAAAAAAAATTTTAAAAAAAAAAATCTTTTTAATTTTTTTTTTTTATTTTAAATGAATAAAGAAAACCTCTATCATTTTATATGTAAAACTATAAATAACAACAATATATCTCAAATAATGACGACAAATTACGAAATGAAAAAAATAAATATAGTGAAAGAAAAATAGATATCTCTGGCTGTTTCAAAAAATTATAACAAATGAAAGTGTGTGGGTTCATTTTTAATTATTTACTAAAAGATAATTCAAATTGAAAACATTAGTAGCAAAAAATTTAGTAATTTTGCAAACTTTCCCCTAATACTTGGCTCGATGGTGAAGTTATTGGATTTTACATTTTTTTTTACTCCAACCAATATATCAAAGATATTGTAATTAATGATTCATTTCAAAAAAAAAAAAAAATTATTGCAATTGTTATTTTTATGAATTTTTTTTTGATATTTAATAGGGCCGAATAAATCGGTTAATAATTTTACCCGAGATATTTTCGAAAATTTTATTTTATAAAATATTTTTTTTTTTGGGTTCCCAAAGAATTTTGGTTAATCTATTTTATTTTATAAAAAAAAATGAATAAAGCTTTATTACTTTTACTTTTAGTTATTTTCTTTGTTGGATTTTCTTATGCTGGAATGTGTTCTGGTTTGTCTAGAGACAAGTGCATCTATTTAGAAATTATCACAGAAAAATGTAAGTTTCCATTACTGTCTAACCACAATTATAAACAAAATCATTCTTCAAAATCAGTTTAAAAAGTAAAATATAGATCAAGTAATAATATTTTATGTATATTTTTTTTTTTTTTTTTATAGGTGTGTGGCAACATGGTAAATGCTGGGATGCTCTTCCACATGTATCCAAACAATAAATAAAAAAATAATAGTCTATCTATTATTGGGAATCACTTTTACTTTAAAAAAATTTCTTTTTTTATTTTATTTTTAAATATATTTTTTACGATAAGGGATTAGTCTTGATCGGTTGTTTGTGGCTAGCATCTAAGCATTTTTCTATTTAAACAAAAGAAAAAGAAACTGATAGTACATTTCCATTTACAGAGCTGGATAAACATTCAAAACCTAGGTTATAATCCTTCTAAAAATTGAGAAAAAAATACATATACAAATATATTGAAAAAAGTGACTTGATTGGACTGGATGAATGGTTGTAAAAATTTAACTTGTACTTAATGAAAATGATGTTTTGAGTTTGAAAGCTTAAATTTTTTTTTTAAAGCACTTGTTTCTTCATTTTTTTTTAAACTATTTGTTTTTTGTTATTTGTTACTTATATCTGTACCTGTTTCTTGATAGTTATGATATCATCTTTTTTTTTTTTTTTTTTAAAAACTTGTTTCTTGATATATTTGAATGATACACAATAGTTGATATTTTTATATGCTAAATAAATACTTGATATTTTTAATTATCCATAATATTTGATATATTTTGAATGTTACAATACTTGAAAATTTTTAATGGTCCATAATATTTTATATTCTTGAATGCTACACAATACTTGATATGTTTTAATGATCAAACCAATAAAATACTTACCTTATAATAAATCTTGATATTATTGAATGATCCAATCCAATTGTATATTCTTGTTTATAATGATATAAAATTATGGTATCAAAATAATAAAAAAAAAACTATAGTTGAATTATAATAATTAAATGTAAAAAAATCCTCGATATGCTTTAATGCTAAAAAATCCTTGATGTGTTTTAATGCTAAAAAATCCTCGATATGTTTTAATAATATTTTTAATTATTTTTTATTTTTTATACTATTGGCCACTCTTTGTAAAGAGTGTTTCCAGCTCTACCACGGGGAGGTTAGTATATTAGAGCCGAATGGTTAATTATGTATCCCACCACGCAGAATACACAATCAACCACCATATTGATAAATGTGTGAAGTGAAGTGTAGTGTGTGTTTTTTTTTTTTGTGGTTAATTATATATCCCACCACGCAGGATACATAATTAACCATATTGATAATAGTGTGAAGTGAAGTGTAGTGTGTGTGTTTTTTTTTGTGGTTAATTATGTATCCCACCACGCAGGATACATAATTAACCATATTGATAATAGTGTGAAGTGTAGTGTGAAGTGTAGTGTGAAGTGTAGTGTGTGTTTTTTTTTTTTTTTTTTTATATATTAAAATTTTTTTTTTTTTTTTTTTTTTTTTTTTTTAATTTGAATGTGTATAATGAAAAAAATAAATTTTATGAAATTTTTTTCTTTAAATACTTTATTTTTTTTATTTTTAGATACCTATAATAGCCCTCTTTATTTTGTACATCACAATTAATCTAAAAAAATAATATAATATTATTTTCATTTTAATTAATAAAAACCTCAACCAATACAAAAGGTCGGATTATTGTTTTTTTTTTTATTTATTATTTAAGAAACATTAATTTATTTTTTTATTTTTTTTTTTATTTTAATTTTGATCAAATATTTTAGTTTTGGTTTTGATTTTGGGTTTGATTTTATGATAAAGAAAAATACTTTTCACCTTCTGAAATAAATAAACCAATATAGGCTAAATAATCTTTTAAAACCTTTTTAAAATCATCAATAAAAGAAATTTCCGATGGTTTGGGTTTTAAATTTATAATTTTTGCTTTTGCATTTTCATAATTTGTAAATAAATATTTGAGAACTCTTGGGAATTGAATGGAACCATGAAATTTTTTTACCTCTTCTACGGCAAACTCTTCCATTTGTAAACCTTCAGATAGTCTTTTTGAATTATAATATTTTATAAAGTTGCTGGTTATTTCTTTTTTAAGATGGACTGCTTCTGAACCAATATCGTGCAAATCTATAAACCAATTTTTAAAGCAAAATAAACTATTTACACCATCTTTGAAGGATTGATTTGTGGTAATATGATGTGCATATATTATTAATTGTATTTCTATATAATATTCACCCTTTTCTGATTTTTTTTTTAATGCATAGTTATTGAGGATCGAGAAATTTACAACTGAGTGTCTTCTTCCATTTTGAACTCGATGAATATAAGCGGAGCCTAATGTAAAACTATTGTATTTGCAAATTTCCCCTTCAGCACAACTTTGACAGCAACTAATTAAGCATATCTCACCATTATACTTTATTATATCTACTGATAGCTCGTCACCTTTAACTATATTTGCTATTTTATCTATTATTCCCTGGGTACATGTTTTATTAAGCTCTCTAGTTTTTTCTTTTATATCGCTGTATGCTATTTGTCCAATTAACTCTTTCTTGCAACGACCACATAATACATTTACACCAACCGAAATTAATTTATTTATTTCTTTTATAAATTTCTTTTTCTTTTCTATTAAAATACCTTCATTTTGTGTTCTGTGATATGCTTCTGGTAAAATCTTTACTGGTGCAAGGTCATATAATTCTTTCATAGCTTTATAATATTATAAATAAAAAAATAAAAATAAAAAAAAAAAAAATTTTGAAAAAAAAAAAAAAGGGGTAATGGGAGTGGGTATTGAAGAGGAATATTTTATAATTTAATAAAAAGTTTATTTAAATTAATTTAAATTTAAAATTAATTTAAATATGCATTTATAATTTATATTTATATTTATATTTATATTTTATATTTTATAAAATTTTTTTATTTTTTTTTTATTTAATTATTTTTTTAATTTAAAAAATATTTAAGTTCCAATTTGATTTATCTCTTGTAACTTTAATTTGTTTAATATTTAATGTTACAAATTTATTATTATTATTAATTGGTTGAGCTGGTAAACCTGGTTGTTGTTGTTGTTGTTGTTGAAGTTGTTCTTCTTCCATTTGTTGTAATTGTAATTGATATTCCTTTTCTTTTTCTTTTTTATTTTCTGGTAATATTGCTGTAGCTGAAGCTGAAAGATTATCGAGCGAACCATCGATGAGATCTAAATATTTTTGATAAAGGGTACTAAGTTGACGGGCTTCATCAAAAAGATTTAAAATAACAAGACCTTTAACAATACGACCAATATTTTCTTGTTGAGCAATTGATGGAATTAATTTTTTCATTTCTTCAACAAGATATTCTTCTTCAAATGGACTACCTTCTTTACCAGTGAGACGAACCTTTTGTGGTTTTGGTTTCTTATCTTTTTTCTTTAAACGAGTTTTGGTGGCAGTTGAGAATGTACCAGTTTGTTGTGAATAGGTTGAAACATATGATGAAGTGGTAACACTACTCATAGCACTATTAACTGATTGACCACCTTCACTGAAAATACCTGACATACCTGACATCATTGAGCTAGTTTCTGGATCTAAGCCACCTCTTGGTAAAAGTAATGGGACATAGTTAAGCTTATTGGTACGAACAATAACGATTCTTGTTGCCATCTTTTGATATTTTTCATAGTTGCTGTTGATATCAGTTGTTTGGGTAGCAACAGTTTCTAAAATTGATTTATTAATTAAAGTATCTACCAATTCGGAACGATCCTTATTTTGTGCTAATAAAATGGCATCGTTGTAATAGAAACCTTCACAATAAGCTGAAATAGATGTTTCTAAATCAGAGTATTGAGATAAGAGTAAACCGGCCTCTTTGAATTTACCGTTACGTTTTAAGACCTCTGAACATTCTTGAGCTAAATTATTTAATTCATCATTGGTGAAATTTAATTTCTTAGCTTGATAAATTGAATTTTCCCAAAGACAAGCATCCTTGAAAGCAGAAAGAGCTTTTTTTGATTCGCCTGCAGATGTGTAAAGATAAGCTGCATCTTCATAATTATTATGTTGAACTAAATAATCTGCATAAATATCTGAAACTTTTTTAAACATTTCTTTTTGATTTTTGATTTCTGCTTTTTCACTACCACCATAAATAACCAATGATTCTTTGTAGATATTGTGTTGTTTGATGAGCTCTAAGCAATCTTGTTCGTATTGTTCACCGGCTCTAGCAAGATTGTAAAGTGCGGTTTCCCAACGATTTAAGTATTTATCAATAGAGTATCTTTGATAGAATCTTTCCATCTTTTGAAGTTCTTGTAAGAATGAGATATATTCTTTTGGATCTTTTTGTGATTTTTGTGCAACCATAATAACCAATTCGAAATCGTAGGTACCAAGAGCGATATCATAGAGTTTATTTACATCAACTAAGAAAACAATGTAATCTAAAGATTCTTCGGCTAAACGATTAACAATAGTTTCACCATTTTCATTAACCTCCTCACCACGGAGTGATTGAATAAGACGAAGTACTTGGTCGAGTTCTGGTGGTGATTTTTTGACATAAGTTGTAAGGATTGGGAGATTGAATTTGATGGAGTCTTTTTCGACTAAAACTTGTCTTAATTTATCGCATACTAAGTTAACTTTACCTTCGACGACTGCTGATGGTTTAACATTGGTTGGTGGGATAAGGTGCTTGGTTTCTAAATCAACAAATAATGTTTTGGTGGTATCTTCATCTCTGAGTGATGAGATGAAAAGATTTAAATAATCAATATTTTGAATTTGGTCAATAAAAGTTTCAACATGACGAAGGAAATCTGTTGGGTTATGATCATAGATAAGATTCATATCAATACGGTTTCTACGCATTAACATAAAAGCTTTGAGGTATTCATGTTGATTTAAGAGTTCACGGATTGTTGATAAAGTAAGTGAACGTGGTGAAATAGCTTCAAGATTACCTCTTGGCATTTGTAAGACTAAACGGGTATCGTGTGGAACTACTGCAACAATACGAGCACCTCTTTCAACATCTCTAATTGAATCATCATAGTTTGAAGTTTGTTGAATAGCTTGTGATTTGCCATTAGCATATGTATTTTGTTGGGCTGGTGGAATATAAACCAATGGTGAAGTTGGAGCTGGTGCTAATAATGAAACTGATCTTAAAACATGTGAAACTGTAGTAAAGAGGAGGAATTTGTTATGGAGGGAATATGAATTACAATCTGTACATAATAAATTTTGATTAATGTAAAGTTTGTTTCTATCATTGAGACCAACGACTGAATCCTCTTGATTGATGGTACATGATGAGAACCATGGGCATGGGGTTGGGAATTTAAAGATATTTTCTTGTTGTTGTGAAATGAATGGTGAAATTGAAGTTGGTGATTCCATGCTACCAGATGAAGAAGGGCAGGTTGAGCTATTATAAACATAGAGATAACCATCAACAGTTTCAAAAAGAGCTTGATCTAAAGATTCGAGATGATTTGTAAGACGTAATACTTTATTTGGTGTGTTGACACGATAGATATGTTCGACTGCAAAGCTAGATTTATTGATAATTACTTCAACAATTGAATCATTTTGGTTGGTGTTTGATTCGACAGCAACAAATGTAGTTTCATTTAACCAAAAGAAGTGACGAAGTTTATATAATTGTAATTTTGATGAATCAATTGAAATTGTAGCAGTGAGAGTTGGTGGAACTGAATAATTGGTTGGTTTTAATTGTGGTGTTAAATCTACTGTTGGTTGTTTGGTTGCAACTGGAATTGCTGGAAGAGAAGCTGGTGTATAAATGCAAATACTGTTTATTTGATTAACTAAAACTGAGAGTTGAAATGTATTACGATTGAATGAGAAGCCAGAACAATTAGAGTTGGCTGGTAATGCGATTGAATAGGCGGACATTGGTGGTGGAGTAACTAAACGGCGGAATGGTGTCATCTTTAAAGTATTACCGTCAACCATAACAACGATTGATGGATTTTCAGAGGAAAAACCTTGTGATACATCATAATCCCAACAGAGACGATATTCATTATAACGACCTTGGGAGGTAATAATACGAAGAATTGGAGCACTTAAATCCCATTTCATATGAACAATTGATTCGCTAGAGTCACAGTTAATTTCTTGTTTTAAGAACCAATAATAATTACTACGATGCCATAATTGAACAACTGTTTTTTCTGAACCATCATCACCAACAACTTTGAGTAATAATGCTAAGATTTCAGAGTCACATGACCACTCAATAGCTTCTACTGTACCTTTTGATCTAATAGTAAATTCACCATGTTTTAAACCATTTCTTTCAAAGAATGAAATATCGTGTCTTTTATTTTGTTCTAATCTATGTGAAACTGCAATTAATGAACCACTTGGTCTCCATGAAATTTGATTTTCTAAACCTGCAACGCTTGTTTCGTTCATTGAATGTAATTGTAATGATCTTTCCCAAACTCTTAATTGAATACTGTTAGTTGCTGAATCAAAACTTGTGCATGAGAAATATTGACCATCACCTCTCCAACTTATTATTGGGATCTTGGTTTTATTGTCTAATGTTATATTATTGTTGCTGTTGCTTGTGTTATATTGTGATGCTTCTTTACCTGGTAAATATGAGTTTATTGAAACTTCATTTAAAATTTCCCAATCTTTAGTCATTTGAATTAAGGTTTCGCTTTCAGTTGCTAAAATAAATAATTCATAATCTGGTGACCATGACATACATGTAATACCTGAACCAACAATACCAACACATTCGAGCTAAATTTTAAAAAATAATTTTAAAATTTAAAAATTTAAAATTTAAAAATAAAAAAGTTAAAATAAAATTCATGTATAAAATCTGTATAGATTAATAATAACTTACTTGGCCATTTGAAGTTGAATACATTAAAATATCACCTTTATCAGTTGCCATACAAATTGCTTCTAAATCTGGAATGAATTGAATTGAATTAATTAAAGCACCTTCACTAAGAATATCTTGATCATTTAATTCAATTTTCATTGTAACTTTTTTATTTGATGGTGAGTAAATAATAAGTTGATTACTTGAAGTGATGAAGTAAACTATATTATTTTGGTTATCGAATGAAAATAATTTAAAGCCATTTTCGCCTTCAATTAAATCACTAAATTCTATTAATCTAGTAATATTTTTCATTTTTTTATTATTATATTTATTATTATTATTATTATAAAAAAAACCAAATAAAAATAATTGAAATATAAAATAAAATTATTTATAATTAATTAATTAATAAAATTAATTAAAAATATATATATTTGTTTTTGTTTCGAAAAATATAAATAAAAAGAAAAAAAAAAAAAATAAAATTTAAAAAAAAATAAAAAAAAAATAAAAAAATTCACTTTTTTCGTTTTTTTTTTGTTAAAATTAAAATAATTAAATAATTTTTTATGAATTTAATTAAAATAGTAATATTATTTTTTTAACAAAAATACATAAATAAAAATAGTTTTCAAAACGACAAAGAAGAGAATTGGGGTGTATTAATACCAAAAAAAAAAAAAACAAAATTATAATTTTTTTTTTTTTTTTTTTTTCAAAAATCTATCTCTAAAAAAAAAAAAAAATTTTTATTAAAATTTAAATCAAAGATGAATAAAATTAATATATTAAAAAATAATAAAAGCATTGTCGAGCTATACTCATGGGGCAGTGGGTGGAGTGGTCAATTGGGTTTGGGAAAAAATATTATTGAGCAATATATACCAAGAAAAGTAGAGTTTGCAAATGATGAAACCTTACAATCAAATGATAAAGTTAAAACTGGATCATATCACGCATTGTTAATTAAAGGAAATAAATTTTATAGTTGGGGTCAAAATAATTTTGGACAATTAGGTATTAGCGATTTAAATGATAGATTCACACCAACATTAAACAACAATATAGCAAATAAAGATAACAACATTAAAATTTTAGATGGTGAATGTGGTGCATTTCATTCAATTTTATCAGCTTATGATAGTTCAAAAGATATATATAAAACATATTCATTTGGTTGGAATCAAAGAATGCAGTGTGGCCAAGAAGGTAATGAAGGTATTATTTCAACACCAACAGAAATTCAATTTTTAAAAAATCAAAAAATCAAATCAATTTCATGTGGATTTGACTATAGCGTTGTAGTTACTGAAGAAGATAATGGCATGTTTTTATTTGGAATGAATGATAGAGGTCAGTGTATATTAGATGGAGATAGTAGTAGCAGCAATCCAATTCAAAAACCAAAATTAGTTAAAGAATTCAATAATATAAAAATAAAAAAAGTTTCAAGTGGTTGGGGACACACATTGGTATTAAGTGAAGACGGTCAACTATTTTCATGGGGTTCAAATCAACATGGTCAGTGTGGTACAGGTGTAAAGAATCAATACTCACCAATTTCAAAAATTGAATTACCAAATTCGCAACTTAAAGTATTGGATATTTCATGTGGATCATGTGCATCTGCTGCAATTTTATCAGATAATAGAGTTTATATTTGGGGTTCTGGTGGCGATGGTAAGTTGGGTCTGGGAGAAAGAAAAGATGATCTTTTAAAACCAACTTTATTAGACACACTAAACGACAAGGTCTCTCAAATCTCATTTGGTTCCGATCATTGTGTTGCTTTACCATTACAAAATAACCCAACATCATTCTACGGCTGGGGTTTTGGTCAACATGGTTGTCTTGGTTTTGATTCAACAATTGACAAACTAAAAGTATTTTCAACTCCTGAAGTCAATCATTTTTTCGACTCAAGTAATAATAGTAATAATTTTAAATCAATAATTTCAATTCAATCCTCATTGGACACAACTTTTGCTTTGGTTGAAAAAAATATATAAATTAAATAAATTAAAAAGCTGAAAATTTGGTAGGTTTTCGCTTTGGGATTTTTTTTTACATTGGACTCTTTTTGTTTTTTTTTTATTTTTTTTTTTTTTTATTTTATCTTAATTATCACTGAAAGAAGGGGAGAATCTCATTTCGTTTTTTTAAATTTTTTTTTTTTTATTTTATTTTAATTATTTTTTTTATTTTTTTTTTATTTTATTTTATTTTTTTTTTTTTTTTATTCATTTTTTTTTTTTTTTTTCACTGGATAATACGTGTGTGTTTTGTTGTGTGTGTGAATAATAAAAAAAAGAATAAAAATAACCAGCTTAAATTTTGTGTTTATGACTTGTTGACAAATCTTTTATTCATTTTTTGTTATTATTTATTTATTTTTTTTTTTTTTTTTTAAAAATTAAATTTTAAATTTTAAAAAAAAAAAAAAAGAAAAAAACTCCTTTTTTTTTTTCATAAAATTAAAAATTAAAAAATTATATATGAAAATATATAACATTTAATTATTTTATCTATTTATTTATTTATTTATTTATTAATTATTGTATCACTACAATTGTACATAAACTAAAACAAAAACCTTTTTTTATTTATTTTGTAATCAAAAAACATTATCAGTAAATTTATTATAATAAAATTAATAAATTAATAAATAAATAAATTGTTTTTTAAAACTAAACATCTCTAAAGTAAGTTAAAAAAATTAGATTATTTTCATTCATTTTTATTTTAAAAAATAACACAGAGAAATATAAATCTACAATAACACACACATTTAATACATTACACCCCTTTTTTTTATTTTTGTTGTTTTTTTTTTTAAAAATATTTTTATTAGAGAAAGAGAAGTTGAATCAATTTTCATTTTAAGACAACAACAAATAACTAATAATTACATAATAATAATTTAATATATTAATAATAATAACATAAAAAAAAATAGTTATAATTTTTTTTATTAAATTTATTGTTCTTTTAAATTTACTAATAAATTATTTTTATATTAAAAAAACATATAGATATAGTAAAAATACATATATTGTAATAATAAAAATAAAAAAGAGAGAATATATGTTTTAATAAAATGGGGGATTACATTAAATTAGAAGTCCTAGATTCTAAGCAAAATGATAATAATAATAAAAATATAGCAGACGGAGCATCAATACCGACATCTAAAAAAGCGATTTTTAGCATTCAAGGTATGACTTGTTCGTCATGTGTTGGCATTATAGAAAGCTTTGTATCGAATTGCGAGGGTGTTATATCGATTCAAGTAGCATTACTTCAAGAAACAGCAGAGGTTAGATTTAATCCTCAAATTTTAAGTGTAAATATCTTAGATGGTCTATAGATTTAAATTTAAATTATAATAGTTGTTTATTAACGAATAATTTATACAATTTAGGAGGATGACATTATAGAGCAAATTGAAACAGTTGGATTCGAAGCAAAACATTTACAGCAAGCAGAAAATAACACAGTAACATTATTAATTGGAGGTATGACATGTACATCGTGTGTTGGTATTATAGAAAGTTTTGTATCAGGCGTTGACGGTGTTGTAGATATTAAAGTAAATTTAGCAATGGAAACAGCAAGAGTCGTTTATGACCCAGATTCAACAGGTGTTAGAGATATTATTAAAGCAATTGAAGACGTTGGTTTTACAGCTCAAGTTCCTTCCCATGATATGGATCAATCAAAAAATTTACAACATGAAGAGTCTGAAAGATTAAGAAAAACTTTAATTTTGAGTTTTATGTTTACATTACCAGTATTTGTTATTGGTATGATACCAGGTATGTTAATATTTCTTTCTTTACATAGAGTTTTTATGTTATAAATATATTAATACTTTTTTTATTATATTTTAGGATTTGGATGGTTATTTAAAATATATGTTATAAACAATTTAAATTTTGCAGATTTTATAATGTTACTATGTGCTACACCTGTACAATTTTTCGTAGGACAAAGATTTTATAAAAATGGTTACAAATCGTTAAAACATGGTGGAGCAAATATGGATGTATTGGTAGCTTTAGGTACTAGTTGTGCATATTTTTATAGTATAATGGTTATGTTAATGGATCTTTTCGATACTACACCACCAGATACAACAGCAATGGGTGGAATGAAAACATTTTTCGACACATCAGCATCGTTAATCACTTTTATTTTATTAGGCAAATATTTGGAAATTATAGCAAAAGGTAAAACATCAGAGGCCATTAAGAAACTTATGTCCCTTCAAGCAACAAAAGCAACATTAACCACAATAGATGAAAATGGTAAAATTTTAGAAGAACGTGAAATAGATATCGATTTAGTTCAAAGAGGTGATCTCTTAAAGGTATTACCAGGTAGTAAAATACCAACCGATGGTATTGTTTATCAAGGTCAATCTCACATTGACGAGTCTATTATTACCGGTGAAAGTTTACCAGTTTCAAAAAAGAAGGATGATAAAGTTATTGGTGGTACCGTCAATCAAAAAGGTGTTTTAATAATCAAGGCCACAAGAGTCGGAAGCGAAACAAGTCTTTCTCAAATCATTAGATTGGTTGAAAAGGCCCAAACTGAAAGAGCTCCAATTCAATCTTTAGCCGATAAAGTTAGTGGTTATTTTGTTCCAACTGTCATCTCATTAGGTTTTTTAACATTTTTCGTTTGGTTATTTGCTGGTATGTCAGGTTCTATCGATTCATATATAGATTCATATAAAACCACAGTATTCCAATTTGCCCTTAGAAATGCTATCTCTGTTATTGTTATTGCATGTCCATGTGCTTTGGGTTTAGCTACACCAACTGCTGTAATGGTTGGTACCGGTATAGGTGCACAAAATGGTATTTTAATTAAAGGTGGCAGTCATTTAGAAACTGCTCATAAAATTTCAGCTGTAATTTTCGATAAGACTGGCACTCTCACTACAGGTAAACCAATTGTATCAACTACAGGTGTTTTCGGTAAATCTTTTGCAAAGAAGACATTTTTCCAATTAGTAGCATCAGCAGAAGCAGCAAGCGAACATCCTTTAGCAGGTGCAATCGTAAACTATGCTTTCGAAGTTTGTGATGTCCAATCAACCACTTCACCAACATTTTTTGAATCAGTTACAGGTTGTGGTATCAGAGCTACCGTACAAAATGTAGAGATTATGATTGGAAGTTTGAAGTGGATTATGGGCGAAGGTATTAATTTGCATTCCAATCCAGAGATTGTCGATGTTCCAGAGATTGAAGATTCAGTTCGTCGTTTAGAGTCTGATGGTAACACTGTTGTATATGTAGTTTTAAATCATCAAATTTGTGGTTTCATTGCAATTTCCGATCAATTAAAACCAGAAGCCAGAGCCACCGTTACAGCCCTTAAAAAATTAGGTATATTCCCATGGTTGGTAACTGGTGATAATCCAAGAACTGCCAATGCCATTGCTCAACAAGTCGGTATAACCCAAGTTTTCGCAGAGGTATTACCATCTAATAAATCTAAAAAGGTTTTAGAATTAAAGAAACAAGGTAATGTTGTAGCAATGGTTGGTGATGGTATTAATGATAGTCCTGCATTGGCCGAGGCTGATGTTGGTATTGCCATTGGTGCTGGTACAGATATCGCTATTGAAGCTGCTGATATTGTACTTGTCAAGAGTGATCTAAGAGATGTAATTACCGCTATTAGTTTATCAAAAACCACTTTCCAACGTATTCGTTTCAATTATTTATGGGCAACCGTTTATAATATTTTAGGTATTCCTTTAGCTGCTGGTATCTTAATACCATTCGGTATAAGCATTCCACCAATGATGGCGGGTTTAGCTATGGCATTCTCATCGATCAGTGTAGTTTTGTCTTCATTACATTTAAAAACCTATAAAAAACCAGAAATTCCAATTATCGAGGGCTCCGAATTTGAATCCAATCGTATCGAAAACGAAAGACAAAGAAATTTATTCAAAAAGAGCAAAATTATTTTTGAACCAATTATTAATAGTATTCAAAAAGATAGTAGTAGTAATGGTAAAATCGAAAAAATTTCATTATTAGCAAGTGATGATATGGTTTAATTTAATTAATCAGTTACAATAATAATAAATATAATATTAAAAAAATAATAATAATAATAAAAAAAAAAAAAACTATAAGGGAAACAAAATAATTTATTGTTTTTCCCAATCTTATTTATTTAAAATCATACACATTATTTTAAACTTCTGTGAAAGCATTCATCAAATTCTTTTAATTTTTTTATTTATTTTAAAATAGTTTCTTTTAAAAACATAACCAAATAAAACGGAAATAGTTTTAGAAAATTAATTTAATATTAAATTCATAATATTTTTTTTTTAACTTTAAATAAATAGTTTTTTATTATTTTTTTACATTTTGTAAAATGAAACATATGAGTCTTTTTGTGTGGTGTGTGTGTCATGTGCGTTAAGATTTTTTTTTTTAAAAAAATATTTAGTGTTTGATTGATTATAAAAAATAATTAATTAAAGGGCCCCACAAACTTCTTTTTTTTTTTTTCATTTATATATTTAAACATATATATAATTTTTACTAACCACAAAAATCTCCGTCGCTCCCCATTGATTTTTTGTTTTTTTTTTTTTTTGATTTTTATTTTTTTTTTTTTTCAAATTATTTTTTTTTCTTTTCTTTTTTAAAAAGGTTTAGTTTTTCATCATTTCAAATAATTCTTTCAAAAAGCGTATGCTATTTTTAGTATGCGTGATAATTTTATCATTTTTATTTTTATTATTTTTATTATTTTTTTTTATTTTTTTATTTTATTTTATTAGTTTAATTTTTTTTTTTTTTTATTTATTTTATTTTATTTATTTTATATTATATTTTTTCAAATTCAATCAATCAATCAATTAACCAACCAATTATTTTTATTGTTTTTATTAATAAATGTTAATTAATTAACCAACACTCATATTTCGCAAACACACAATCTTCAATCAAATTATTTTTAAATAATTATTTTTAAATAATTATTTTAAATTATTTGTTATTTTTTAAATGTAAGTGATCATAATTTTATTTTGTTTTCTTAGTATACAAATATATACAGTATATATTTAATCAAGATCTTACCCCCACTTTAAATCAAAAAATTTAAATAAAGTTTTTCTCCTCCCTAAATTAATATTAAAAAAATATATTTATATTTAAAA